TCTTCCTTTATTGGCTCGTTTAGCAACCTGTTCGTTCTTGTGCAAAATGTATTGTTGTGCTTCTTCATGAATTTTCTTTACTAGCTCGGCCTTATGCTTTCCACCAAGGCTAGCAATCTCACTAGCAGGTAGTGGCAACAAATCCAATGGAGTTAGTGGATTAAAAACCATAAGTAATCTCAAAAGGTGAAATTTCGTAGAAGAATGCACATACGTATTGTATGCAAATTCAATGAAAGGAATGCAAGCTTCCCAAGACTTTAGATTCTTTTTAAGAACAGCTCGTAACGAGGCTCCTAAAATCCTATTTACTACCTCGGTTTGACCATCTGTCTAGGGGTGACAAGTAGTAGAAAATAACAAAGTTGTTCCCAACTTACCTCACAAAACACGCAAAAAATGACTTAGAAATTTAACATCTCGATCACTAACAATGGTTCTAGGGACTCCATGCAAACACACTACTTCATGAAAGAATAAATTTGCCACATGACATCATCAATTTTGTGACAAGGAATGAAGTGTGTCATTTAGAAACCCGATCAACCACAACAAATATAGCATCCCGGCCATTACTAGTTCTAGGCAATCCCAATACAAAATCCATAGACACATCAATCCAAGGGTGTGTAGGAACATGTAAAGGCATCCATGTGGTTTAACCTTAGACTTTGCTTTCATACACGTTATGCATCTAGAACATATTTTCTCAGCATCTCGCTTCATATGAGGCCAAAAGAAATGTTCTTTTAACATATCTAAAGTTTTAGAAATTCCAAAATGCATTAAGCCTCCCCCATGCGATTCACGCACAAGTAATTCACATAAAGAACATTTAAGAATGCAAAGTTTGTTTTCCCGAAACAAGTAACCATCATGCCGATAAAAAATTTCAAACGTACCCTTTTCACAAGCAGCAGAAACACTACCAAAATCTAAATCATTCTCATAAATCGCTTTAATATGCTAAAATCCTAGGAATTTAGCACTAAGAGTAGAAACAAGAACGTACCTGCGTGACAACGCATCGACTACCACATTGTCCTTAGGATGTGTACTGAATCACAAATTGAAACATCTCAATGAACTACGTGTATGCTTACGATTCAGCTTGCCTTGACCCTTTAAAAGATTCAGCGATTCGTGGTCCGTATGGATGACAAACACTTGGGACCACAAATAATGCTGCCACGTCTCCAATGCTCTCACTAAGGCATAGAGCTCTTTGTCATTGGTTGAATAATTCAAAGCTGCACCGTTGAGTTTCTCGCTAATGTATGTAATGGCTCGTTTGTCTTGCATCAGAACGGAACCTATACCAATACCAATACCAAAAGCATCACATTCGATCTCAAAGGTTTTAGAAAAATCTGGTAGAAGTAATAACGGGGCGGAACTTAGCTTTTCTTTTAAGGTGTGAAATGCTCTTTCTTGTGCTTCTCACTTGAAACAGCTACACTAGTCAAAGAAGAATCAGGGTTAACATTAGAAAAATGTGTTTCTCTATCCAAAAACAAGATCATCATTTTGTTGGAATTACAAGCGTTCTTCATCTCTCTTGCTTAAAAACTCATTTTTCTTTCGTCCTCCCTCACTTGGGCTGAACTCTCTTATTTTGCTTCCTCACCCCTCAGTGTATTCCTAATCAGCTTACTCTCTTTTCGGTCATACTCACAACTTTGACCACGGTCTCAAGTTGCTTTGTGTTGGCAGCAATGGACTTCTTGATTTGATTCTGCTCCTCGTACACTTGATGAGGTGGCAATGGTGCAAGTGTAATATACTCTTTCCATCCTTGATAAAGCTGTATCTATTCTTATAACTATCATGAGTAGTGCGCCTATCAAACTGCCATGGCCTCCCAAGCAATAACTGCCATGACTCGCTTGCATAGGAACAACATCACATAAAACTTTATCATTGTATTGTCAACGAAAAAGGAAACTAGTGCCTGCTAGGTTACACTCATCTCTCCACTTTCATTGAGCCATTGAAGCCTATAAGGCCTTGGGTGTCTTGTGCTATGCAAACCAAGTTTTTCCACCGTCAATTTGCTAGCCACATTAACGCAAATGCCCCCATCAATTATCAAATCACAAACTCGTTCTTGTATGCGAGTGTCGAAGATGTTTTCTCTTTGCATTTCATCACCCTCTTCTTTAGCTCGAACATGGAGAGCTCTCAAAACAACTAATGCAATGCCAATAATAGCATACACGTCACTAGTTTGCTTGTTGGGACATTATGAAGAAATATGACCTGATCCCAAACAACAAAAACACTTAATATCACGAACCCTTTGAGATTGGGAAGATAAATTACTTCACTCTTTGTTCTCGGGTTGAGTCTTGGCTATGGGTTTCTCTTTTGGTTTGAACACCGTTTGCTCATCTTCCCTTGAAGAAAAGCGCCGTTTTGGCTTCCAACCAGATGAACTAGTGTCTTCTACTTTAGATGATGAACGGCCTCCTTTTTGAAGTTGCTTCTCAACTTTCATGGCCATGTGCTAGTCATCATCAAATTCCACATAGTGTTGTAACTCCACTACGTTGGCAATTTCTCGGTTTAAACCACAAATGAATCTTGCCATAGTAATCATGGCTATCTCCATCTCCTTGTGGTACTCTTCTACGGACTTAGAACCCTGTTTAAGACTTTGTAATTATGGTAATCAAAGACGAGTTAAACTTTTCATTCCCATTCAATATAAGTGTCAGGATCATTTTTACCTTGAAAGGAGGGAATAGAAAACTTGATTGAACCAGTGTTTCGATCTAGCACATCTCTTTCCCGATGTCCTCTAGCAACATGTCTTGGACTATGGTACCGAGCTCCTCTATTTCCTTCCATACTAGCATTACAGGCCACATCATTATCAAAATCAGCTTCTTCTTCAAATTCTTAATCGAAATTATTGGGAATAGGGGGCTGCGGATTTGGTCTTCGTGGCCGTGGCACCTGAGTTGGGGGTTCCTCGTTGCATTTCATTACTGCATGCATCTTGTCTATCCATCCTATCTCGAATTTCCCCAAAAATCAAGTTCATGCATTCAAACTGTCGTCGGATGGGTGAAACCATCACGAATTGGTCGGAGTTTTCACCTTCATTGCCTTTTTGGGAAATAATTAAAAGATGTACAACAATCGTTAGATAAAATAAAGGAGCCTCACTCATTCACTCCCTCACGTGTTTACCCTCAGAAATTGTTCACTCAATCACTCGTGTTTTACTCAATTTCTTTCTTGGCTTTTACCCTCAAATGTGCTCTAACTCTTGCCTTTTTCCTCTCACCAGTTCTCCCAAGTTCTAAAGAAACTAATCAATCAATTACCAAAGTGATCACTTGATCAAACCAAACAAATTATAATATTAATCCCTAAATGGTTCCCAATATAGCAAACATGGAATAAGGGGAAGGAATAAGATCAAAGAAAGGCTGGAACACGCAAACTGAAGCAAAAGAAAGAGAACCCTTTTTTTTTTTTTTTTGGCAATAATGAAAGAAAATTGATGGGAACAAAAGAAAAGGAAATGTGATGAAACGAAGAAAGAATAATTTAGGAAAGGAACATAAATTGGGAAACGAAAGAGGTTGAAAATAGCAAGTTGTTTATAAAAGGAAAATTAATATTAGGTTGATTGCTGTTTGTTTCCTAATATGAATTTTCAGCAACTTTCCTCTTTTCTCGCAACTCTTTATATATATATATATATATACACGAAAATCTCTCTCTCTCTCTCTCTCTCTCGATATGCAGATTACTCTCCCTTTTTTATATAGGATGTAATTTCGGACTAAAGCACAAACAGATAAACAAAAATGCTTTAAGGCAAGGAAAAGTCGAACAAGATAATGATTAAGAAAGGACACACTTGAAATTGGAACAAAAATCAAGAAATAAAGGGACGGTTGCAAAAAAAAAAAAATGAGACAACGAAATAAATGAAGGATAGACGAAAACCTACTTTGGAGCTTAGGCTCTGATACCAAATGATGCAAACCTCAACGAACAATGTCGCGAGACCCGGCAACAATACTTTGGAATACGAACCCTGATTGTCCACAAACAAGGAATTCAAAGGTAAAGAAAGAATATTGACCCTGTGGCTATAAAGAACCAGAAACCAAATATTATAAAGGTTTGGAAAGCACAAGTTAGCACTTGGAATTCCCGAAAAGTTACTGAAAAACAAAGTAGTAGAAAAATCCTCTCAATTGTATATCATAAACCGCCGTTACAATGTCAAGCCTATTTATAATGTTAAGTTGGCTTGTAAATCTAATAAAAACCTTAATCTCGGATTCCGTTTTTGAACCCTACATAAGTTGGGCCAAAATAGGCCCAAAACAATCAAAATAATTAAAACAAAGGTCTAACATAATGTTATAAGAGTCTAGGCCCAAAACCAAAAACTTATTAAGAAAGAAAATAACTAAATGACTTAACCTAATGTAATACAAGTCTTCACTGGATTGGACTTGAATAAGATTGATGATCTTGGTCTCCTCTTGTAAGCCCAACTCGTTGGAATTAGCCTTGGACTTGGTCTCTTCTTCAAGTACACGTCCTACCAAGCCTTGTATGGCTTCTTGTAGCTTCTTTCCCCAAGCTTTTGTTATAGAGCCAGTTGGTATTTAAAAATCCACGCCTTGTGCATCCTCTCCTAGCTCATCTTGAGTTCCTTCCTCCAACTTATGCATTTTCTCCTTTTCATGTTCCATTCCTCCTCCTAGCTATTCCATATCATCTTGTCTTGTATCAATTGAGGAATTAGCAGAATGATTCCATACTAATTTGTAAGTTCTAAGATATTATATTGCTCCCTTGCTGATTGAGATACGTGAATGCTGAGGTAACTTTTCTTTCACCTAAATAAAATATTTGTTGTAGCTTAGTTGTTAAGCTTGTCGCATGCACCTTAGATTAAAAAATTTACAAGTTGGAGATTTTGAAGTTTGTAAGTCTATCATCAGAAGTTCTGTTTTTCCTTCCATGAAATGCAGAACTACGAAAGGAATTTTCTTGGACGCATGCTCCTTGTTGCCTTTCGAAGAGTGAGTGCATTTATGCATCAAGTCCTTGGTGCAAATTATGCTTTTGACATTACGCATATATAACTTGTAATTAGATCTTGCAATCAATTGAATTTTTTCTTGATATTAATGTTTCTTTGTGGAGTTGTCTTCTACTTTTTGTGGAAATTCCCCTTGGCAATTTGGTATTTTTCTTGATACTACCTTGGTGTTTACATGTTTTTGGTAGTAGTAGCTTAGAATTACAGTGTTCTCAGTTCTTGGTTCCTTGCCTTGGCTTTGTGCAGAATGTGGTAGTTGGTAACGAGACTTTCCTCACTTCCTACATTCAGAATGCCTTGAATGATGCATGGCTAGCGGATCCCATAAAAGCAATTGTGCTTTTAAATGCTGACGTTTATGGTTCCCCACCAGACAATCCTATCCCATATGTTGGAACATTCAGGACCGATATCCTTGGACAAATGACCCTGATTGTTGAATTCCTAAACCATTACAAGGCACCCTTCACTGTAAATATTTACCCTTTCTTGAGTCTTTACGCCAACGAGCACTTCCCTGTTGATTATGCTTTGATGGGGTGAAGAATCCTATTGTTTATTGTTTGGGCTTATTGATGAGGATGCCAAGAGTATAGCTCCTGGTAATTTTGAACGCCACTGGGGCATCTTTAGATATGGTGGGCAACCCAAGTTCCCTATGGATCTTTCAGGTTAGCTACAAGGCAAGGATCTTGTGGGTGCGCCAAATGTGCAATATCTTCCTAAGAAATGGTGTGTGCTGAGACCAGATACCAAGGATATGAGCAAACTGGCAGAAAACATTAATTATGCTCGTACCTTTTCAGACCGTACGACCCTTGGGTATGGTTCTTCCTGCAACAGATTGGATCCCAGTGAGAATGCAACATATGCGTTTAATATGCATTTCCAGGTCCAGAATCAGAAAGATTTGAGTTGTAACTTTCAGGGCCTCGCCATGGTGACTGATCAGAGTGTATCTCAGGGGAACTACAACCTTACTGTTCAGATAGCTACCTCTTATTCTTCAAGCTTGTCACATGTTGCTTTGGTATTTTTAATATCATTCATTATTCTATTGCTATAGATATATTTCTGTCTACGTACTACTTTTTATATTTATTCGAGTGTTTAAAATGAAAATGACAGCAAGATGGTCCGAACTATTGCCATTTTTCAAATACGAACAATTTTTTTTTTTTTTGTTTTAGAGTTACATTTCAAGTACATGCTCCTTAATTTCATGTCATGGTGGTTGTTAGGTTTTAAAGTTGTTGGCAATCTTTAGACAAAAATATGGTTATAAAAGAGTTTTAAAAATCCTTTCAATTGGTAGGTTGTTTAAATGAACTAGTAGTCCTTGTCTTCGATCATGGAACAAGAAGAAAAATGTTATCGAATTTGTGATAGTTTGCCACCAAGCTGATGCTCGAGCGTCCAAAACTTAAAGTCGCTTGCCTATCACTCGAGCGACGCACTTGTCTCTTACCTGGTGTTTGAGTGACAGTGTTTCCCGTGAAACTCTAGTTCGCGATTTTCGAGAGTTCTATCTATCATAATACTACTCCAAAACCTAGATACTATATATTTTATAAGAGAGATTGCTACACATTATTCAATCTTCTATTGATTCAACCAAATCATTGAAAACATCAAATCCACATAATCAAAACACCAAAACCCATATTTTTGCATAATCTGTCAAAGTTCTGAAAATCTAGGATGGTGATCGGAGTTCTAGTTGAATGAGAACGAGGAGTTCATAAGTGATCTAAAAGAGATAAATGATTCCAGAAGGTAGGGAGCTGGTGCAGGAGCACGCAATCCAGGATGGTTTTTGGTGATTATAGTCAGGAGGCCAGGAAGTATTAAGGTGTAGCCGAGTCTGAACAGTATGTAAGTCTTTATCATTTATAGTGATTACTACTGGTTTGGGCTCAGAGTTTTTATCCCGCGAGGGGTTTTCTCCGTCATCAATTTTGTGGTGTAATTTATTTTTCTGCAATATATCAATAGTGATAATTCAACTTAGAATAGTATTGCATGTGAATTTATCTGACCATAATTAATAATTATTGCATTTTCAGTATCTTTATAGCAGTGTATGTATCCTCAGGGGCCTCTACAAAAGTAAAATTTTCAAAGTAGCTTCCACTATTAAAAAGTCGAGAGTACATATGTAACATTATTGATACCTTGGGGGAACCATCTGGCACATGCAGTAACATGTTACAGAATATAAACTGGAAATTACATTTCAAAGAATGCACCTCGAGTAGGAAAAAGTTATGAAAGTTAGAATATAATCGCCCAAAAGGAAACGGACTAAATTCATCAATATGCTACAAACACAATTCAGGACAAATATTTTATTGGATCACTTCAATGTAGCCTCATTGATCTGGTTTATTACATTAAACATAGATGGATCTCTAGCAATCTAGTAGATGGTATCGAGTTTGAGGAAGAAATTTTCATTTTGTAGCATATCTGGTCATTTGTAACACTTGGTTTATACAAAACTATATAATCGAAAATATTTGGTTTTGCCATTTTTTAAATATTTTTTAGATTATTAAAACTTCGTAGTAAAAAAAATGATTAGACATTCTTCCAGGGTTATCTTACTAGATTCTCCACGTCCACTTTTCCCCTAATACGATTGGTAGAATATGATCGACAATCAAGTTCTCACCAGAAGAACAATACATGTGAAGCATAGATACAAAATGTTGATGTAAGGATATTGCCGCTTTCCATATTTGTTGACAAAAATTGTAACACACCCGAAAAGAGAATAGGAAAAATAAAAGATGTTCAAAAAGAAAATGCAAAACTGGCAATTAATATTACATGAACAATATGACATCATGTCTTGAGAAATTTATGAATTTGTCAATGTTTTTAGATCGGGGAAAAAAAGTTGGAGGAGCTATTGTCCAAGAAAAATAATCATGGATGCATCTCAATTTTTCTTACTAGTGTGTAAGAGACAGCCCCTTGTTTTGCAACAATTCAAAGTTACGCACACCAGTAGTTTGAAAAACCACAATTACAGAGGTTACCAGTCTCTAGTAAAATGTACATGAAGTTTAGGCTATTCATATTTAAAAATCTTAAAGAATAGAGGAACAACAAGCAGGGACGGATCCAGGACCGGATTACGGGCCGGGCTAATGCGTAAAAA